CCAATGAGATCCCGGGGAGTGATGAAAACCAAAGATATTGCAAGAAGACAATGCAGCACAGTGAAGGATTGTCTTCTCACGTACTTTGGGCTACTCAACATTCTGTGAGATCTCGGTGGAAGGATAGTAGCCTCATATTCGTCTAGGTGCCACGGGTGCCAGCATACTATCTCACTTTTTTCACCAACAGGTTTTTTGCAGTTTTAATGGAGTGTTTTATCAAGAATTTGGGGAAAAGGAGAGGTCACACTAAGTTACTGGAGCTTTCTAGTTAGGTTCAGGGTCCACTTTGTCCCGGTCCTGAGGGTATCAGTGGGTGAAGTGTGGCATATCAAAAGAACCTGTCTTGACAAAGTGACAGATGCTCTTTAACAAGTTGTGTCCTCTGCACCCTGTGAGATAAATGAATGCAGAGTCATAGGGGGACCTACAGATGTGTCCTATCTATCTATCTATCTATCTATCTATCTATCTATCTATCTATCTATCTATCTATCTATCTATCTATCTATCTATCTATCTATCGTCAGTGCCAGTTGCCTGTTTTGTGGTATGATATTGTTGGGTTGCTGCCTTTGCCAGGTCTCTTCACTCAGGAGCAGCAGATCTGGTTCCTAGATTTCTTTAAGAAACTGTGCCGATTGGGTCTGCACCAGGAGAATGGCCATAACGATAACCAGATCCAGAACATAGAGCTAGAGAAGAAGTATTCTATGGTCAGGAAAAACTGCGCCTACAACTTTCCAGTGAGTCTGATTTTGCTAATAATAAAGACCTTCATGGATAAAACAGGAAGGAAGAGTTAATGTATTGCAACAAATGTGATTGTCTCATTCTCTTACCCAAACACAATATGCCACTTGTATAGTTTTTTTGTGTATCTTGTTTATTCAGAGCAAATTTACTTTCACTTTTTATTTTCAGATAGAAAAATATGAACTATTACATTGTTGTTTCTTTAATTTTGCATTTGCAAACAATAGGTGGTGCACTACAATATTAAGCTTCATGATCCGTGGAAAACAGCTCTACTGTAAAAGAGCAGTGTGTCTCAGATTACACACACAGCTGAATGATTATTAAGATAGAGAGCTGTGTGAGCTGGGTGTCATGGATGTTTCCAGTATTGAATGATTTTGTTAATGGCTATTAAACATCAGTTTATAAACTTGTAAACAATAAAAAAAGTAAAACTCCCCCAAAACGAATCCAGACTTACAGGGAGGGTTAGTGTTAGGTTTAGGCCCCATTCACATTGAGCAACATGAAAATCGCGCAATTTTGAGCGGTATTGCGCGACGAGTGATATTGAGCGACTTTTTCCTATTGGGCTGTATGCAATCAGGAGCAATATCGCTCGAAAAAAATGGTCATGTAGGAGCGACAAGCTACAAGCGATATTGAGCGACGAGATGTGAACAGCTCCATTGAAATGGATTGGAGAAGCTACATAGAGCGATATCGCTGCAAAAATCGCTCCATAAATCGCTCAGTGTGAATGGGGCCTCAAGGGAGTGTTGGGGTTGCAGGGAGGGTTAGTGTTAGGGTTACAGGGAGTGTTAGGGTTACAAGGAGGGTTAGTGCTGGGGTTACAGGGAGTGTTAGTGTTAGGGTTACAGGGAGGGTATGTGTTGGGTTACAGGGAGGGTTAGTGGTGGGGTTACAGGGAGGGTTAGTGGTGGGGTTACAGGGAGGGTTAGTGGTGGGGTTACAGGGAGGGTTAGTGTTAGGGTTACAGGGAGGGTTAGTCTGATGGTTCCAGGAAGGACTAGTGTTAGGGTTCCAGGAAAGGTTAATGTTAGGGTTACATGTAGGGTTAATTTGAGGGTTACAATAAGGGTTAGTTTTAAGATTACAGAGAAGGTTAGTGTTAGGGTTGCAGGAAGGGTGAGTGTGACCGTTATGAGGAAGGTTAGTGTAAGAGTTACAGGAAGGGTTCATGTTAAGTTTACAGGGAGGGTTAGTGATAGGGTTATGAGGAAGATTAGTGTGAGTGTTACAGGTAAGGTTTGTGATAAGATTAGAGTTAGGGTAAATACGAGAGTTACAGGGAAGGTTAGTGTTGGGGTTACAGGAAGGGTTAATTCAAGGGCTGCAGGAGGGTTAGTGTTAGGGTTATCGGAGAGGCAGTGTGAGAGTTCCCAGAGGGTTAGTGTAGGGACTATGGAGGAGAGGTATTGTTAGAGTTACAGGGAAGAGTTAGTATTGGGGTTAATGTTAGGGTTACAGGGAGGATTATTGTTACAGGAATAGTTAATGTTTGCTTACAGGGAAAGTTAGTGTGACGGTTACGAGGAGGAGTAGTGTTGAGATTAGATGAACAGGTAATGTTAGGTTAACAAAGGAGGGCTAGACTTAGGGTTATAGGGAAGGTTAGAGTTAGGGTTACAAGGAGGTCTAGACTTAGGGTTATAGGGAAGGTTAGAGTTAGGGTTACAAGGAGGTCTAGACTTAGGGTTATAGGGAAGGTTAGAGTTAGGTTAACAAAGGAGGGCTAGACTTAGGGTTATAGGGAAGGTTGGAGTTAGGGCTGTTTGGAAGAATTAGTGTTAAGGGTACATGAAGGGTTAGTGTTAGGGTATGCAATAGAGATATGGATAGTGTGAGAAGGGTCTTAGGGTAGGACAACCTTTCTATCCTCTTAGCGACAATCCACAAAACTCCCAGCACTGATCTCCAGTCACTGAAAGCGAAATTATTGAGTTTTTATTGCTATTAGTTCGGGAGAGTCCCCTCAGCAGAGGTTCTAACCCTTCACCGCTCTACCCAAAACTAATAAATAGAGTCGTGGCTGGAATTTCACGTTATTGGCAGGACGTGTTATAGTGCTATAGTGAAAGAACCGAATGACAATGTTAACGTTTTACCTATCTGTCCTCTTTTTTTCCAGGCTATGGTCGTATTTGTAGGAGTGAAAAACTTCCACATAGAGCTGTATGCAACCTTTTTCTGTCTGTGTCACGACCCGGACATGTGCGTCAGACACACCATGGCTCTTGGCTTCTGTGAAGTAAGTATGAGACAGTTATACAATGTGTTCCTTGTACTAGGCGTCCTGTATTAAAGTGACTCCAAATTCAGGAGTTAAATCTTAGAAATACATTCAAGTACCTTAACTATGAACAACAATGTATCTTATTTGTGTATCACTCGGCTGCAGATCCTCCAATCATCTCTGAATTGGTGCTGACACTGTCCTTCCTTCTGGAGGGGGGCTACGTCTGTTCACCATGGTCCCTGTGTGTGTTGTAAAGTAGTCACTGCTCCAAGCTCACTCCCGGGATGGACTACAATCTTAATACAAGTTTGTTAATTAAACATGAGATTGTAGTCCATCCCGGGAGTGAGCTTGGAGCAGTGACTACTTTACAACACACACAGGGACCATGGTGAACAGACGTAGCCCCCCTCCAGAAGGAAGGACAGTGTCAGCACCAATTCAGAGATGATTGGAGGATCCCCAGCCGAGTGATACACAAATAAGGTACATGTGTATTTAATACACAAAGAACTGGTCACTTTATCAAAACTGGAGCAGACAAAATCTGGAGCACATTTGCATCAGCTTCTCTGTCTCATTTTCAAATCTTATCTGAGCAAAGTGAAGAGAGATGCTGATAGGTTACCATGGGCAAGTGCTCCAGATTCTCTCTGCTCCAGTTTTGATAAATCCCTCCCATTGCTGTTAAAGGAGAACTATGTGGTCAGGGCTTTTCCCCATAGTTCTCCTTAGGGTAACGGGAGGACGCTAGTTTGTATCCTCCCGTTACCCTAAGGAGAACTATGGGGAAAAGCCCTGACCACATAGTTCTCCTTTAACAGCAATGGGAGGGATTTATCAAAACTGGAGCAGAGAGAATCTGGAGCACTTGCCCATGGTAACCTATCAGCATCTCTCTTCACTTTGCTCAGATAAGATTTGAAAATGAGACAGAGAAGCTGATGCAAATGTGCTCCAGTTTTTGCTTTTGTGGTCTTTCATGCATTTTCCTTTTTTTCAACTGTCTACAGAAGTTATCTTTTTGATCTTTCAGGTCTTTCAATCCATTCAAGTCCCTTAACTATTAAAGGAGAACTATGAGGTGAGTGAAAAACACTCACCTCATAGTTCTCCTTTAATAGTTAAGGGACTTGAATGGATTGAAAGACCTGAAAGATCAAAAAGATAACTTCTGTAGACAGTTGAAAAAAAGGAAAATGCATGAAAGACCACAAAAGCAAAAACTGGAGCACAGGGGGAACGAATACCCTTTGCACCCAATTTGATTTATTTCCCAGACAATGAAAGTTGAAGCATGATTGGTTACTACAGACTCAGGTTCCATCTTGGCTCTAGTTGATATAAATTTATTTTACTCTGTTGATGTGATGACCAGACTGTAAGAAGATTTATTTTCTTGGTTTTCAGGTCTGCAAGCTCTTAGGATCCAATGTGTATTTAATACACAAAGAACTAGTCGCTTTACTACAAGATGACTCACTAGAGGTAAGAGGTCCAGCAGGGGGGAAGGGGGGGGGTGGGTGAGGGCCATTCCCCATTAAAAATGTTTGTTCTTATTTCCCCGGAAGTTCTTATTTTGTAGAGGTGAGTGCTGTGTCAGAGCCCATTGGAAACATTGAGTATTATTATCAAACTTAACTGATGGCAGTCAGATTGCGCAAAGATACTATGAGCCGAATTCACACAGCTAACACATCAGGATAAATATACTAAGTGACTGTTATTTTTTTTGCCGAATCCAATAAGCTTTCAAAATGACAGTCACATGACTAAATTGGAGTGCCCTATCCTTATTAGACTTGTGCGCCGTCAAAAAATTTGTTCTGTTTCGTTTCGTTTCGGAATATCCGTTATTTCGTATTTCGTAATTCGTAACTGAACTCAATTCGGATTCGTACGAAATACGAATTTTCGTTAGTGGCGGTTATATTTTCGTAACTTTACGAACATTCGTTATGATGAAGTTAAAAAGCAAAATACCTTTGTTATGGAGTGGTATTTCGGATTAAAAAAAAACTACCATCAATCAACTCCAATATATTAACAAAGGTATTTTGCTTTTTACCTTCAATATAACGAATGTTCGTAATGGAACGAAAATACGTCAACGGAATTTCGTATTTCCTGCCTGTGTATTGTAATGCAACTCTCAGCAGCAGAAGAGAACCTCTGATTGATCAACCAAAACGAAATACGAATTCCGTTAACGGATTCCGTATTCCGAATTCCGTATTTCGGACTTTAAAAAAAAACTACCATCAACTCCAATATAAATGTACTTTGCTTCTCAACTTTAATATAACGAATGTTCGTAATGGAACGAAAATACGTCAACGGAATTTCGTATTTCCTGCCTGTGTGTGTAACTGTGTATTGTAATGCATCAGCAGCAGCGGATCCGTATCTCGGATTAAAAAAAAATCTTGTCATGTTGTTCAACCTCATTTACAGGGGTAATATTAGTTCCTGTTTCAAAGAAATTCGGATCCGAAATTCGTTAACGGAATTTCGTATTTCGGATATAATTCGGAAACTGCCATTCGGATTTCGGATGCTCCGAAATTCGGAATTTCAGGAAAATTCGTACGAATTTCGATTCATAACGAAACGAATCGCACATGTCTAATCCTTATAGCTTTGTGAATTGAGCCTGATGTCTATTGTCTATTCCCAACCTTTGCAGATTCCTCTGGGCCAAGAAATTTTAAAGCTTTTACTGGATGACACTTTGTTTGCCAAAGCGCCCTGTGCCAGCAACATAATTTTTTACCAGGGATTATTTTATTTTTATGGAAGGTGCAGATTATAAAGGAATAAAGACATCTGAAATTACATAGAATGAGAACTATGAGGTGAGTGATTTTCACTCAGCCTCATAGTTCGAGTCGACATGTGACAATTAAACTGTCACATGCCGGCTCAATAGATTGGGAAGTGAGCGAACACATACCGGCGCTCGCTCACTTCTTGATCCGGTCCCTGCAGAGAGCCGTGACTGTCACTCACGGCGCCCTGCAGGGATTCCCTCCCTTCCCGCTCCGATCCTCCAGCGCTGACTATTGGAACGGACGGGGGAGAGGGCGGGCACAGCTGGCTCTGCCTCTAGATAGACAGAGCCGACTGTCACTCACGCAGCTGGGTGGATCTCGACAGTAATGCTGTGATCCGTCCTGGCTGCGGCGGTCTCAGTATACCGTGAGCTGTAGCTCGCGGTATACTGAGCTTTGAGTGACAGGAGGACGCTAGTTTATGTTCTCCCGTGACCCTTAGGAGAACTATGGGAAAAAGCACTGACCCCATAGTTCTCCTTTAACATGTTAAAGCTTATGTGACATTTTAGTGATCGCAACAGTTCTCCCACATTAGGCTGATGCCGGGGGTTGTCTACGCATGCTCGTCCAATTAACAAGAGTATATACAAATATATATTTGTTTGTTTATGTATTACATTTGATTTGAGTGTTTAGTAGCTTCCATTGCACATTTACTGGCGCAGATCACTTATTATTTATAACAAGAGAATATATTGTGTCTTTTTTTTATTTCAATATTTTTGTCATGTAAATGGCATGTATTATGTAGGAGCTCACTGATACAGTTTTTTTGGTATCGCGTACGAGTACTATTTATATTTATATCTCAGTATTCGCCAATACAGAGTACCGATACCGGTACTTCCAGTAGCATGGAGTCGGCTTCCTGGGCAATCAGGAAGCCGGGTAGCATGTCATTCCACGCTGCCCGGCTTCTTATTTGCCCGGGAAGCCGTTTCCATGCTGTTTGGCTGGCTCCATGTTGAATTGCGGGGAAGCGGGCCAAACAGCATGGAGCCGGTTTCACGAGTCATTACCCATGAATCAGCAGAATCAGCTGGTCCCCTGAGCACTGGCCCTGATATCCTGTTTTAGGGTGGCTCCTTTCCTATGCAGGGTCCTAAGGCAAAGCAAGCCACTCCCCTG